TACTTACGTACGTACGTACATACATATAAAAATACGAATGTACATCGACAGATGCATGCACGGCATGGATGCATGCATACATACATACATGCACTCGAACAGACAGATGTGTTTACACACTTAGCACATGTGTAAATGTTATACATGTGTGCATACACTGTACGCACGCATACTGTAGATGTACCAATGTTCGAAACAAAACCAACACAGGTCTTGTTTACAAAATCACAAATGCTGATTCGCGATGGGAGGTGCAGCGCCCTTGGCGCCCGCCAGGCGAGGCAGCCTCTTCAGTCCAAACCTCAGAGATCGAGGGATCCACCTCGACACGGCAAGGCTATGACATGTGCAAATGCTCTTAGACGGCTGACAAAAGTGCCGATGTATTTTGGGTGCACATCTAAACCCTGGACATGGACTGATAAAGGTAGGTCAGGTAGGTGGCATGGAGGCTTACATGCCCGAAGTCACAGAACTTGGTTGTCGCTGCATCCTTCAGGCACAATTTTTGTCGGAGAGATGATCAGTTTAGTTCCAAGGCGACCCAAGTCAAGCTCAAACTCCAGGCGCGATGGGTTGTCGCTGGGATCGACGCTTTGGATGGAGAATGGATTCAAAGCATGTTCTGTGTGTGCGAATGGCCAGGCGGCGCAATCAGACAAGTATCTATCTTTCGCTTTAAATGCAAGCCTTCAGGACGTACTCTAATCAGACACATGTAAGAGGCTTGCCACGCTAGGGAGCTCCGAACTCAAATGCCTGAAAGGTTGCGCAGTCAGGTCGGTGAGGGTCAGTCAGACTCGTTTCTTTTTGCCAGGGTTCCACAGGATTACAGGTAAATTCACACGACCTCCAATGGAGGATGCCACAGGAATTGCGGGGCTTAAACGGCTTAGATGAGCTTAGTAGACATGCAGTTGGGATTCTTGCAGCTGTTGGGTACAGACTATCTCTAGGATGCTTTCAAAAACACACCACGCCAGTAGCCTGCATAATCTCATCAAGTTCCATGTCCAGCCAGAAGCCACAATGAAGGGCCTCTCTACAACTCAGGCATGTATGCACGGATTTAACGCAAGAGGCTACAGTATGATTTATGATTCTTTATGATATAAGAACATATCATAATGAGAAAGCACGTCATAACACCAAGCACAAGATAGCATAGATTTCTATATAACCGAATCCAGTAGGGAGCTCAGCCGCCAAAGTCCAAGTGGAGGAAGCCCTTGGCTGTCACCGAAGCGGGCCGGCCGTAGGTCCAGCTGGGAACTCGGCCTTTTTTTTCTGGACTTTCGGAGCGGCAGCCTTATGGTAGTATAATGATTTTATTATACTAGAAGTTTGTCATACTACGATACTATTATAGGGTTATGGATAGGGAGCATTTCGCCTAAGAGCAGGCCAGAGTTGTAGTCGCAGAAGCTGCAGTACCGGTAGACAGCAGCAGGAGCACTGCAATCACCTCAAGCTGCAGCGATCCAGATGATCCTAGCAAACCGTGGTATGGGCGCATGATTCGTGGGCTTAGGCCCAGGCTTCTGACGACGTGGTTCAAGGTTTCTGGGTAATATCGGACGACAAGAAAACGGATCCGTGGAGGCGCTACGGGAACTAGTCTGCCAATCCTGATCTACTGGCAAGACTGGATTAGATAGCCGTAGTTCTGTGGAGACAAGTAGTCAGGCGTGAAGCAGAGCTTCCGACAGGAGACCATCAGTCGCTAGCTATTACCCTGAAGGGCGGAATCCCACAGATGACCACTGGATAATGAACGTGCCTGAGGAAGTACCAATACTACTCTGTATGGGGCTCTGTATGATGTCTTGACAAAATTTCCCCAAACCCTGCTCTAATTATAATGTCAAGCCCGAAACTTGCTAAGATCACTGCACACCAAGGTGACTCGAGCGTGGCCAGGCGCAGAGGTAGAGGCATCATAGCAGCAGGGTGGGGCTTGGAGGGAATGCTGAGGGACTTCAAGGCCTCATCAGAGTGGGTAGGACCGGGTAGGATTCACCATGTGCTATGATGGTCATCTCTTAAGTTTTCCAGGAGCGCGCTCTACCTCACAGCGGCGAGGTAGCTTGTTCGGTGAAGAGCTCGGTGACTTTGCATTCCTGAAGGAACCACCATGGCAGCAAAGGCTTCGGCGTTAGGATCCATGTCGCATGCGTGTTCTTGTTTCCGTTGGTGGGGCTACTCCTGCCTTGGCCGAGGTGACGGTGACAGTGTCCAGCCCGGAGGCCGCATTGAAAAGTGCAGTAACCCCACATCTGCCGGCAAAGCTTTGGCAGATTAGACGTGAAGAGGCGAAAGTTGGATTCGAAGCCCCTTGACTCAGCAAACCCCCTAGAACTTGAGTTTCAACGGGAGAGTAAAGCTTACCATAGCCTCGAAACCACGCTGGAGGCCCAACACGAAGCTTTTTTGCAAAGAGTCTTCTCAATTATGCCTCTCCTTCCGCAGATCGCTTGCACGTCTGCCTTCGTCCGACTCAACCCTGAAAATGAATAGCTTTTCTTGTGACCCTTATTATATCCTCCTAGTAACTGGGACTCTAAACTGTACTGTAACTGGCCCGAAGCACTGAAAATCCTACACCCCGCCTGGAACTGGTGTCGGGCGTTTTCTCCTTTGGGACGCCGGACTGGTTTTACTTGTAGGACTGGCACTCAGGCAGCATAGCCTAGTGTTTTCGGTGCAGAGCGACTCGGTCAAAAAATCAGACCCGAAATCCTGGAAGTCTGCGTCGCCTTGGGCTCCCCGACAGCAGCTGCAGTCGGAAAAGGCATTTCTTTAAACAAACGACCTACACTCGAAGCTGAGCCAATCTTAGCCACAGGTGGGCAGCCGACAGCCGCTCGAGGATCGCTGTTCAGTGGGGCGCTTGTAGGGTCCCTCGTAGGGGTTAGGGTTTGGGGCTGGGCTTCGTCGTGGTCCTACAAACCCTCTTCCTCAGAGCTTCAGGGCCCAACCAATACCATTATTGATATAACCGTTGCGAAAATACTGTTCATTCCAGATGCTAGCATCATCTTCACAAGTCCTAGGCCCAGGCTGACATTTGCCTGCGGTAGTAGTCGTCTCGCCCACAGATTAACTGCAAAACCTCGGAAGCTCACACACGGCGCGACGCTTTCGGCTGAGGTGACGACTCCGGATGATGAGAACCTACCTTGGAAGCTCTGGCTGGCTGACACGCATCACATTTGTGCAATTCATGGTGTCCCCCGGTGCCACAAATCAGCCGAAGGCTTTTTGCTGCACCTGGGGCTTGCATCATGAGCCGCGGCCTTCTTTGCTCCATTCAGGTGATCACTGTGTACCCTTTGCTGCCACCCGAAACAGAGAGTGTTGTTGTGTAGCCAGTGTAGCCCAGGTGGTAGCAAACGAAGGCTCTGTAAATGGACACAGGCGGCATGTCTTCCCGCTGCAACGGCAAACCGGGCTCTTCGCTCTCATGGGCCGTACATGGATATCCCGGATATATACCCCCAATGCGAGCTTCTCGATACCTAAGAATGTAAGTGCCTGCTCTCCAGAAGACCGGCCGCCAGCCACAAGCTGCGTTTGACGATGCAGCAAGAGAGCCGCCTTATGGCCTTATGGCGACTAGCTCCTGCCTTCGATCCAAAGCCTGAACTCTCAGAACTTCCGTCCAACACAGAGGCAGGGTTGCTGGTGTTTGTCATTCCAAGAGGCAACTGGCCAAGCCAATTGGGACGTCAACAGACGGCGCGGTGAAAATGAAAACCTCGCTGTGTCCGCTACCGGCCTGATCAGAAGGGTCGGGCCACTCGTTTCCATCATCGCAGGCAAAGCAAGGTGCAATCTGAATCCCGGAAGGCCCGAAGTCAGAGGAAGTAGGCCAAAAAGTCATCTTAGCTCAAGATCAAGGAATCATGCCGTCTCCCTAGCCCACAACATGAAACCAATCTTTAAGGAGCTACATGATCCCCTCCGATATCGAGGAAGCTGCCGGCCTTCCTGGTTTAGGTGCAGGGTATGTTTGCATGAAGGATAGCCTTGGAGTGGTATCTCAGGCAAGATCGAGTCGCCAGTTACGCCCTCTTGGCAAGTCATGAGACGGGCATCCAAAGGCCATGGCCCACCACCTGTCCAGCAAAGAAGGCTTGTCAGTACAAAACGTGTCCATGGGCAAGTACTGGATTGGCATGGCAGCTTTGGTTGGATTCAGGCCCTGCAGCCCGTGGAGCATCCTGAAGCTCACAGGAATCAAGGCCGCATCTACATGGCCGGCGGGGACGTACAGGAAGAGCTTTCCGGCATCGGTGCAGATGTCACTTTCTTCCTGTACCAAGATGCTAATGGTCTGGGCGCTATGAATGTGCGAGCAGCGAAGCCTGATGCCGCCAGCCGGCTAACTGCGCCTGTTCAGCACAAGGGCGGATATGGACACGCGACTGGTGCAGCAGGCCGACTCCAGTGGAATGCCTCGTCAAACCAACCAACGGCTAAAACCCCGCGGTTAACTCCGAAAGGTTATGGTGGTGGCTATGCGCCGGTCACCCGTGGATCGGTAGAGCCTCATGACAGAGTGTTGGAGCGTGTCCACACTGCTTTACACAAATCAGTCAACAAGGCGACCAAGAAGATCGCTGACCAAGAAAAGGACTGGGATCAAGCCGAGCTCTGCAAGCGCATTGTCCGGTACTTGTATAAAGGAGCTCAAGCCCCCGAGCTGCTGACACTCCATTGGCATCAGGCGGCCGAGCAATTCGTGGACACGGCCATGCAAGGCTTCACTGCCTCCTGTGGAGACAAGCCTTGGTTCTTTGAGATGGATCTGACCTCGGCTTTCGGTATGGCTTTCTGGGAGATCCTTTCGGGGAGCGGGCAGCGTGCGCAGTGGTCAGAGGTGGAGGCGGTCCTCAACAGCAAGTACGAGCAGTTGATGGATCTAAGTCTGCTTGAAAAGGCCATGTGGGACTCCGCAGGTGCTTTGATTCCAGACCAGGAGCCGCTTCGGAATAAGTTGTACAAGGCACTGAAGGCTGGCCATGGGATTGCCCTCAAGGAAGCAACGGAAGCTCCAAGGATGGGAGACCTGCAGCGTGTCGAGCTCTTCACCAAGGCTTGGGTAGACAGCGCCATCAACAAGTCCTACTCTGTGCTGGAGCAGGCGGAGGGCAACCTGATGAATGAGGACAGCGTTGTCCAGCTCTTCCAAGAGCTGGTGGCACCTTTTGGAGAGGAGCACCCGTTTTCCTGTATTCCTGCCGTGCTCACGCAAAGCATTGGTCGTCCACCAAAAGACTGGGACTTTCTGCAGGAGGTTGTCAGGCAATTTTTCCTGCTCTGGAACCACCCTCAAAAAAACGGTGCTGATGCGGGCTACGGGCCGCGTCGCTCCTTCAAAAGACCGTACGAGGCCTTGTCGGCCCCTGGGAGACCAACGAAGGGCAAAGGCCGGGGTTCGCAGGCAGCCTCAAGGCAACCGTTGCGGGCGCAGCCTACTGGAAATCAGGTGGCCGCCAACCTTGCAGACAGCAGCGAACAGGTCATCAACGAAGAGGCGAAAGGCATCGACAGCACGATGGACGATCCTGTTGCCAAGGCACTGATGGAGCAGGTGGCTGCAGCAGAGGCTGCAGCTGCAGGCTGATGCGCAAGGAAAGAAGAAAGTTAAAACGGCAGTCTGTTGATTGGTGCGTTTTGACGCCAGGTGAACCTACCTGTGTCTTTATGAGAGTTGTAGTCCTTCCCCCGAAACCTCGCCTGACCAAAAAGTTAAAGTCAGAATAAGCGCAGGTTGACCCCTACATCATCCCGGTACCGGCCCTCGCCCTCGGACTCAAGCCCAACACCAAAGCGGCCTTGCCACTATCGCTTGCAGTTGACTGGCTAAGGGCTGCGGTTTGGCTGAGGATCAGGGTTCGGGGAGCTGGATGTTCAGGAAGTCTAGTTCGCGAATGTCGGTCTTGAGAGAGTTTGCTCATGCTCTGCGATGTTTCGGCTCCGATTCCGTGCGCCATTCCGAGCCTCAAGTCTCAAACCTACCCCAGGCAGAGCAGAAACCCTAAGCCCGAATCAGCTGGGACGCTTTGCCTAAGTCCGTGCCTGCTTCGAGCGAGCGCGCGAGTGAATATCCGAATTGGGCCATCCTTGCTCAGACTCGCCCGGACTAAAAGGCACGGCCCGAAAGCCTAAAGCTCTGAGCTGCCGAGCCATACTTTCTACCAGTAGCAGAAGATGGTTGGCCTATTGTTCTGTTAAAGCCTCTAGCAGTCCGGGAAGCATAAGATTTATGAGTTTATGGTGCTTTACGGATACGCCGAAAACACTGCTGGCGGGGGTGTAGTGTAATCATAGTGTACTGTACCTCCCCAATCCTCATTTTTCTGTGCTGATGATAGAGTCTACAGACGCATCCAAAAATCCCCAAGAACTATTCTCAGGTATAGTATAGAACACACAGTGATCTCTCCTGGATCCTTCTTGATAGAGCCTTCATGGGACCCTACTCTGAATCCCGTATAGAACCTTATGGGCCCCTGCTGGATCGGGATGAGCCGCCATGCCCGAGCCGGCACCTCGAATCGTGCCCAACTCCGATCGAAGCGAGCAGGAGTTGGAGGCAAGCGCGCATAAAAGACTTTACGGGCCTTGATTCAGGATTGTAGGTGCCTTTGGCGGTTGAGGGTTTTAGGGTTTAGGATCAGAGTTTAGGGCCTATAGGGTTTAGTAAAGGGTATCTTCTTCAGGGCTGAATGATTACCGGAGGGTTTTGGGACATGGGCTGAGGACTCAGGGCTTTAGTTCACGACTTACGACGAAGAAGAACTTTCCAAACAAGTCTCCGGCCCCACCCTCTATCCCTATACGCTGAATCCTATATGTACCTCCAAACCGGAAACCCTAAATCATAGTGTGCGGAGTCCAAACCATGTCTACACATATTCACATGCCTCCGCAGTCTCGACTTTTGCTTGGACATTGAAATCCTAGGCCTTGGAATCGGAGGTGAAGCCGCTCGTCGGGGCCAAGGCACACATTGTTGTGGCTTCTTCGTAGTGAATTCGTGGTAGGGGTGATCTTGCATAGTCACCGTTCGAAAATGCTTGAATGGGGTTTTAAAGTTTGCCAGGTTGGGCAAGTTGCACAGTGCCGCGCATTGATTGAGATACGCCTTGCCGCTCGTTTCCGACATCTCCGTTTTTAACTTGCTTTTCTGCCAGCCGTGTGTATGTTGTGCACTCCAATTTCCGCATCAAGTAAAAAGCACCACGGCACAGTCCTGTGCGTCGCCGCCTCCCCAAGCCGTGCTGCGCAGTTTCTTTGACATTCTTGGGTGCGACTCGTATTATCATCGCTAATGGTTATTACTTCGCTAATATTGTTATTACTACTATTGATGATTTTATTATTGTTGTTCTTCTTAGTAATCTTAGTGGTCAGCATTTCCGAATCATGGCGTGCTCTCGGGAGCTTCATGGGGGTTCCTGGATGTTCCTGGCTTGATTGCGTGGGTTCTACGCTGGCCCTACTTGTTATTATATTTCCACTACATTCCCTACAGGTTACCATGCTGATAGTTGCTAGTGTGTATCCTGATCAGCAACGTCCGGTTCCGTAACAAGCCTTGCGAGGTGGAAGGTGCTGGAGGGCCGGCTCTTGCCGCTACAGATGGGGAGCGGCAACATCAGTGTTATCTTTGCAGCAAGGGACACGCAGATTTTAGATGAGCTCTGTAGGTTTCGGGGTCTAGGCTTTGGGAAAAATAAAAAGGGGGTGTGGGGTTACCGATTTAGGGCTTTGGGCTGCGGGGTTTAGCTAAAGGTACAGTGCTGGGTCAAGGCCTGGACTATTGAGGTAGTACGGGCTCTTTGCTACATAGCTTGGCATGCCCAGCTTCGAGTAGCAACTGGCTCCGGCAACTGAGGACCTCGAAGCTGTTTGCTTGTTGGAGCGATCGGACTGATTGGAGTCTTCATCGCGAATGCTGTTCTGGAAGCTCTGGAAGCACGAGGTGCAACAGCACAACCGAAAATTGGTGTGCCAAGGGTGGTTGCTTCTCCAACTTCTGAAAGGCCTGATCCTGCCGACCTTCCGCCCACGACTCCTGGAAAACTAAGCCTGTTCTCAGCAGACGATTTCAGGTATCCCTATGATCCCAGCAGCCGTGCCTTTAACGTGAAGGCCATGGCATGCCTCAGGCAAACGAATCCTGACCTCCAGCACTTGGAGTACCCTGCTGATGCCGAAGAGCACTTCGAAAAGCTGAACCAAACCATGACCAAGTTTACGACTAATGTGAAACCGCTGTGTGGCAAAATCACCGCTGGCTTTTGCGGTCCTTGGCTCGAGAACAACTGGATCTGGCAATTCAGCGATTTATGGAAGAACCGTAGGAACGGCACCCGGCTTCGAGATATTTTTGGGCCGTATATTCCGATCCTCTTTCCATTTCTGGATGTATACGTTCCACATTTCTACAGGTACCCTCCTGGACTGCTGGAAGCGTTGAACCAGACGATGCGGCCCAATGTGCTCTACATAGCCGTGTCTCAAAGTGATGACGGCATCTTCGGCCATTGGCCAGATCGGAAATTTGTCAAGTTCAGGCAGACGGACTTCCCGAACATGCTGGTACTCAGCGCTGGTGGCTATGGCCATGTCCCTCTTCCCATGTTAAAGCAGTCGGAAGATCCAGTGGAGTCGATGCCAATCTCCGACAGACCGTACGCGGTTTCCTTCATGGGCTCTTTGGATCATGGTCCGCGTACGTGTCGCCCACACATGAAGCTACAGGCAGAGAAGTGGGGCAAGTTGAGAAATAAGACCGTGAAGATAGGTTTCGGCAGAGACTGGAAGGAGGTCATGACGAACACCGCCTTGAATCTCTCCCCCCGCGGTTTCGGACGCAGCTCCTACCGAACTGGAGAACTCTTGCAGATGGGCTTGATACCTGTCTATATCCACGAAGAGGGGCCGTGGCTCTTCTACAGAGACTTGTGGACCAAAGAGAGGATTGGCTTCTCCTCCACAGTTAGCGAATTGGAGTCGACCTTGGATCACGCTTTTTCTGATATTCCCAAGCTGGTGGACATGGAGAAGCGCATCCGGGCCATGCGAAAGACTCACTTTCTGCCCCTGGGCGTGCTGGACCAGATCTACAAGTTTATGACAGAACGGGACGGCGGTGGCGATCTGAGGTGTGAACCCTTGCCGGCAAGCATCATCAGGTGACAGGACGAGATGGTGATCTCTGCGAGACGCTACTTGACAGCGTCGCCCGAAGCTTCTAACAGCAGGGCTCCTTGGATCGACGGGAGTTCAAGTCTCGAAGTCGGCTGCGAGAAGTTATTCAGCGATTCCAAAGCATGAAATCCTGCAGTGTGGGCATAGGCAGAGACCTGGCCACGCCGGAGGCTGTAGACTCAATGGAAGCACAGAGCCTCCGAAGAGTTCGGTCAATGCAACCGGGCCGAGGTCCAAACCCAACTGATACCGAACTTGGATTTGCTTTGGGGCTTAGGATCTATAGAGCGGAAGCGGGGGTTTGGGAAGGGTGCAAGGGATGGGGGCGCGTTGTTGGGGCTTTTGGGTTTTTTTCGTATAATTTGGGGAAGCATCTTAGAAGCTTAGGGTTCAAGGTTTGGAGCTGTCTAGTCTATTCTTTCATGCAACGGATGTGAAGCCAAGCATTCTGTCGCGGGTTTCTCCCGAGGTCACAGCACCATGACAAAGCGTGAAGGCGTAGAGAACAAGTTGTTGACACAATCCGTGCTTCATCAACCCAAAGCCGACGATTCGATCTTCTGCTGGGTTTGCATGCAACCTGAAGTCGATATAGCCCTCGTGCCATGCCGGATCCAAAGCCTCAGCCCGTGCCGAACGCCGATGATGCGAACACCACGGAGGACAGGGGCCTCATGCTACGGATCAAAATTGCTATCTTAAGGCCCCGATAATTGTCTCCATGTAGGAATCCTTTATAAGTATAAGGGACCCCATCGTCTAATTCTCAAGGCCCCCTGTTTTTCCCCATCAGAAAAAGGAGGAGGCCGAGGAGGGCGAGCCCTTGATCGGAGCCAGGCCCCAGGCCGGGCCTATAGGGTTGACAACAGGGTTTAACTAAGGGTTCTGTTTAGAAATAGCAGGGTTTAAGGATCGGTAGAAATATACAGGATAAGAACAAACGCAACAGGCTCAGTGCTTGCTGAAAGAAAGGAAGGAAATAGAATTAGTGTAGATGTGCGACTCTCCAGTATGTGCTGAGACGCTTCAGAGAGTCTGAGAGTCGTCATCGACCTTCGGCTGCCGGAGTTGTGTGCTTTTTGGACAGCTCGTGTGGAGAAAGCTTTCGCTCCATGTTTGTTGAAGGGTCCTAAAACGGGTGTGAACAGAAGCCTCCCCACAACAGTTTTCACCCGACCCTCGCCTCCGGCAGGGTGAGCCCTCCCAGTGATTCGCAGATTGTAGACGGAGTGGTTTATGCTGCTTATCGAGCCATCGGACCAACCTCGCGAGGTTAAGAACGTCCACGAGGTAGATGTTCTGAAGGTGCAGGAGAGCCGCCGGCGCTGGAGCCTTAACATGTGATTGTGCAGGAGATGTGCCAGGGCAGCACAGTTTTTCGATCATGTGCATCTGCTTTGAACAGCCTAGGAAACTGCCTTGGCCTGCTTGCCGGAATTTTATGCGGCATCGCCATTTTTGTCGCCGGTACCCTTTGGGAGAAGCACATGATGGTTTCCAGTGGAGAGAAAACTGCCCACCCTGCCGGTGCTTTGCAACCACCTGTTACAAGTCCAAGCGTTGGAGCCCCTGATGCCCAAGACCTGCAGCATCTTTCAACGTCCACAATCCCGGCTCCCGCCTTTAGACCTGCCGCAACCCGGCCGACGACGGCGGCAGCGAGGACGGCGGCGACGACGGCGGCGACGACGACGGCGGCGACGACGACGGCAGCGACGACGACGGCAGCGACAACGCCGGTGCTGCCTCCTGCGACTCAGGCCAAGCTTGGCCTGTTCTCGGCTGACGACTACAGGTATCCCCATGATCCCAGCAGCAGTGCTTTCAATGCGAAGGCCATGGAATGCCTCAGACAAACGAATCCTGACCTCGAGCGCTTTGAGTACCCTGCAGATGCTGAAGAGCACTTCGAAGAGTTGAATCGAACCATGAGCCAGTTCACCAAAGGGGTGAAACCACTCTGCGGCAAAATCTCAGCTGGCTACTGCGGTCCATGGATTGAGAACTACTGGATCAATCAGTTCAGTGCCATATGGAAGAACCGCAAGAATGGAACACGGCTTCGGGATATCTTTGGGCCGTATATTCCGATCATCTTTCCTTTTCTGGATATCTTTATTCCACATTTTTATCGGTACCCGAAAGGTACCCTTGAAACTCTGAACCAAACACTGCGACCCAATGTGCTGTACCTAGCCGTCTCTCAGTGCGACGATGGCATCTTTGGCCATTGGCCAGACCGGAAGCTCGTTCCATTCAGGCAGACGGACTTCCCAAATATGATGGTGCTGAGTTCAGGTGGCTACGGTCATGTCCCCTTGCCATTATTCAAGCAGATTGAAGCGCCGGTTCAAGCGGCCCCACTACCAGAGCGGACGTATGCGGTTTCCTTCATGGGCTCATTAGATCATGGGCCAAAAGGCTCCCGGCCAACCATGAAGGCCATGGCAGAAAGATGGGGCAAACTGAGGAATAAAACCGTGAGGATAGGTAAGGGCAGCGACTGGAAGGAGGTCATGACGAACACGACCCTGAATCTCTCTCCCCGTGGTTTCGGACGGAATGCATACCGGACAGAGGAGCTGTTTCAGATGGGGTTTATCCCAGTCTACATCCATGAGAAGGGCCCGTGGCTCTTCTACCGAGATCTTTGGACCGAGGAGAAAATCGGTTTCTTCTCCTCGCCCGGGGGTCTGGAGTCTACCTTGGATCATGCCTTCTCCGACATGCAAAAGCTCATGGACATGGAGAGACGAATCCGGGACATGCGAGAGACGCACTTTATGCCCTTGGGCGTGATGGACCAGATCTCGAAGTTCATGACAGAGCGGGACGGCGGTGGCGACTTGAGGTGTGAACCTTTGCCGGATAGCATCATATGAAGAGCCGCGAGGCGAGGGCTTCAGCAAGGGACTCTCTAAAAGGGTGCATGCCGGTGTGATTTCCAAATCCTCGGACTGGATGTATGATGAGTACCTCGCCTGCAGCGTCGAGTGCGAGTGCTAAAAAAATGTATGATGATTCTTCTTTCACTTCCAGGTCCTCTTGAGGATCATTTGTTATTGACCTGAGTGCCTCACCACAGTACTTCCGTCCCTACTCAGCCGAATTAGAAATAGGGCCTGAACAATCAGAAATATTATCGCCGTATAGTTCCTGTAAAGGTATATGGATGTAACAGATGACACCTCAAAGCCATCTTTCTACTTCTCAAGGCCCCTATGTTACAATGTAGCGAGCTCCGGATCCCCAGCAGCGCCTCATGCAAGTTCGACCCTTCCTGGCTTCTTCCATGCAGAGGGCTTTGGATTTACAGTTTAGGTTGGGGGCTGGGGTAGGCAACCGCTAACCTCGATAGGTATGCTGATTCCTGCCACAATTAAAACGTCGTTGTTTCTGGGCTAGGGTTTTCAGCCCCCTGAGAATGGGATCCAGCACTTGTCAATGACAGGGGCTGACTTACCTGGATGTAGAAGCTGCCAAGTGCAAGATAACAGCATCTTTAGAAACCTCCAAACCCGAATGAGACCTCGGCTGGCATGTCCGAGTTGTGAGAGCGCAAACGGGGTTCCCATGGGTTTATAGCATACCCCTTGAGATCAATTTACGATGTTGAATGAGAGTGCGCCAGACGGTTGGGGTTCTGCTCACGTCGGATGCTGGAGCAAAGCAACTACCATGCGACTTTGGGGCACTGCATAACACCAGAAAAGAAGTACTACTGGTACTAGTAAAGATTGACTTCAACAACCGTAAACATAGCATTGATGACAACAACAACAATAACAACAACACCAGCACCAGCACCAGCACCAGCAGCAGCAGCAGCAGCAACAGCAACAGCAACTTCCACCGCAGCACCACCGGCAGCAGCACCAGCAGCAACAGAAACAAACAATGACAATAACAATGATGAGAGTACTAGCAAGACTACCAATAATAGTAACAGTAGAAATAGTATAGATTTAGTACTAGTAAGAATCATAGTAACAAAAGCATCGATGGTGAAAGGCCCGGCTTCACTCATGACGGGGTTTGCATCGCCACGGCTAGGCCTCCCAGGAGTTGGCGACGTCGCGGGTGTGACGGCGCTATACGCTTCACTTTGTTGCGAAAGACTCCTTGATGTCCCAGAGGCCATCCGGCTTGCAGGTGTTGACCGTAGATGTGGCAAGGTATCCTGTTGCCATGTATTTTTTTCCCCTACAGTTCTCCCTGCAAGTTCTTCCCTTGCTACTTCTCTGACTCTTCCTTATGCTGTTTCTCTTCCTCCTGTGACGATTATGACGATAATCACAGCATTATGGCCTAGATGACTAGATGCTAGCTGTTCTTCCTGTGCTCACGTGAAGAGCCGTGCAATCGCACCCACAGCCATGGGCCGCCTTCCATGCTTCGCTTGGACCGCTTCGCAGGCAGACCTCCGGGAGCCTTGTGATGCTGGGGTTTCAGGCCCAGGGTTGACCCGTAGGACTAGCCGTCGTCCTCATCCTCGTCGTTCGTCCTAGTCATAGTCGCAATTGTCGGGAACGATGCTGACGACGATGGTTGTCATTCAGTTTTCTCGTCATGATATTCATGTTTGCCCATGGTCCAGTAGCAAAGACCTCGAAAGGAAGCGGGGAAATGGTCTTTGAGGTGTCGCTTCACTGCCGCCTTCCCGCCTGCCCACTTGGCTCAGTTTGCCGTGCCTCCGAGATCCGCGGGCCGAAATCACAGCCAGCAGCAAGTAAGCCCCCTGACATGACACTCTACCAAGCTCCCTACTGTTAAAGCGGCTTTGTCTTATTAGATCTGGGCATTCCTGCGAGAGCACCTGGGTTGGGCGCCTGGGCTGCGGCCGCGATGCCCGCAACCTGTCCTGTTTCTCATGGGTTTAGCCCTTCTGTCCTGTGGGTTTGGAACCTGGGAGACTCCATCCAGACGAGTCTGGAAATGTGTCCGAGGGCAGATGGGGAGAGAGTGCAGGGGGGCTTCGCGAACGAATCACCAGAGCCAAGGCAAGCAAGCCGTCGGAGAAACAGACGTCTGACAAGGCTACACGGAACTTCTTAGCTCTTGAGACCTTTTCGGGTTTGCAGTCGTCGGAGAGGTTGAGGTTGGGGCTTTGAGAATTCGGGGTTGCAGGCTTGTTGTGATTGCAAAGCTGGCATTGCGTCTACTCTGGACAGAAGCAGACTAACTCCCTTTTGCCTTGGCCCTAAACTGAAGGCCTCGAAGAAGGCACCGCTGCCGCCGCTGAAAGTGAGTGGCTGCTCTGTCCCTCATCTGAGACTCTGGAGAGGTGGCAGCAGCCACTTGGGGGACAGGTCAGGCTTGGGGTCTGGAAGTCGAGTTGTCTATGATCGGGATGCCGAGCACCGTTTGACTGATGCTTTCGGTGCTGTGCTCACCCTAAGGATGTGACGATCAGCGGCATCATTGCGGGTGAGTATGTGCCTGGTCCCAGGGGTTTGATTGAAAGGTTGCCACAAACTTTGACCTGGGATCAAGACTTGAGCAAAGCCTCATCGGAGCACCGATTCATAGGCTTTACGTATCTTGTCTGGCAAAGCGGGCTTGCATGGGGTTTAGGGTTTCGGGCTAAGGAGCACATCCGCCACATGCTGCTGAGCCTTGCTCGCTCCGGTCTTGTGTAGAGCCCAAACATGCGTATAGATGGAAACCCCAGCAGAACCCTTGTAAAACCCTTGCAGAACAGAGACTGTAAACTTTGGTTAGTTGTGGCTCATCCATGCCAAGTATTCAAGTGCACGTCTGCATCTGGTCGCTGTTTAAGACCACTGTCACCCCACATAAGAAGAAGATAAGAAGGACCCTATTTTGCAACAACTGCCCGAGAACCTGCCGGCGAGGTGCCAGATTCCACGAATCATGGCAAAGTGGTGTACAAGAAGAAGGAAAAGTCACAGGGGATAGATGAGACTCGGCTGCGCTTAGGGTATACAGGTTGGGTTTAAGGGTTTGAGGCTTGTGTTTGAAATGGAATTCCGCCGGTTTTTTAAATAGTCCCAGTGGCCGCTCTTTAACTGTTTTGGCTTTGGGGTTTCAGAGTTCATGGTCAGGGGTTGTCATGGTTCATCGGGCACTGAACGTAAATCCTACTCTCGGTGGATGGACGGTGGGAGTTCCGCTTACTAAAGAACCAAGCCTCCTTGGTGGGAAAAAATATGGGCTACGGCCAGGGTACTCAACTTCATCTAAACCTCCAGTCTTGCAGACCCGGGATGTGGACCTGCTCCAGGGTCTCAGCGAGCGCCACCCAAGCCTACTTGCAGCGGGTACTGTAGCCCGAGACCCCTAAGGGCCCAAACCCCTATGATTTCAGAGGTGCTGATCTACTTCTGGGATGAGCGCGACGGCCCCGAACTCTGTGGCTGGTGGTTCGGCCCCAAGGCCCCCGGCTCAGTTCGAAGTTCGTTGCTTCGAAAAGCTTGGTGTTGCTGAGTGAGTGCTGGGATGTAAAGTCACGCTTCTTGGGAAATTGTGGCAGACTGCATCTGGAGTCGAGTCTTCGACATTAGGGGCGGCCTTCGGCGGCCTTCGGGCTTTTGATCTTGGAGGGCTTGACAGCAAGGAGCCTTGCTCTAGCCATGAAGGGCAACTAAGCCCCTGAACCCTAAACCCTCAAAGGGGCCGAGATTTGTCCGAGGTTGACTGGGTGCATTTATGGGTTCGGGGCATCTGGGGTTTGGTAAGGGATCCGAGCGCTCCTGGGTTTGAGGAGAGGCTCTAATCATGAGTCGTAATGGTAATACCATAAACATGATGACTACACATCCTCCTCCTCCTTTCTTCCTTTTACTACTACCACCACCAACACCACGACGACGACTACAGTACTACTACTGCTACTGCTACTGCTACTGCTACTGCTACTGCTACTGCTACTGCTAGTGCTAGTGCTACTGCTGCTACTACTACTACTACTACTACGACGGTGTGAGGTGGGTGGCGACCAAGTCTGGGCTTACCACCCCAGCTGCACAGCGGGTACGCCCCCGGCCTCACAGCCGGGAAGCCCAGATGAGTCCTTCACTTAGGGTTTAGGGTTTTAGGGTTGCTGTAGTGGTTGCGAGAGTCCTGGATGCAAAAGGGTTGCTGTAGACGAGCCATGGTCTTGGACGGACCGTGGCGCGGGCTTCCGTAAAGAGGACCTCTTTGAGCATTTCTGCAGAATCAGAGGTTTAGAGGCCCGGGAGTTGTCCGGGAGAGTGCGCAGATACAGGTTTAGGGCCTCGGCATGCCGGACGATGCGTGTCCATGTGCTGGAAGAGCGGTTGGACATTCCAGATTTGTGCTCTCATTCAGAACGGATATGCCTAAAGAAGCCTAAGGTGCGAAGTGTTGCCAACGGGCAGATTTCCAAGAGATACATCTGGACATTCGTTTACCAGTTATGCTCTGTCTACTCTGATGTGTCGGTGGAACCTTGGCCCTTTGACGTCAGAAGACAGCTTTCAGGTGCACTTGTCCGAATAGCTCGCACACGAAGTTTGTTTCCAGAAGATCCCGCTACAACACGTCGAACATGAAAGGTCAGAGCAGGTCACGAGAATGCATGATCTTTCCTCTCAGGGAAGTATTGTAACAATAGAGGAATATGGTCTTACATCGCGATGGAGGTCAGCACGGGGGGAACAGCCCAATACCTGCAGAACGTCTTCCGTTAAAACCCAGCGGTTTGATCAAATAAGCACAACCCTCAGCCCCTAAAGCCGAAGTGGGCTCAACCCGTCAAATTTTAGGTTTCTGTCCCGTTCGTGGCTTTGCGCACAGGTGGAACGTGCCGCACGACGGCCCGATTGACCAGGTGCATGGTTCTCAATATATATGAATGTGATTAATGGTATCAATGAAGCTCCACCATCTTGCTAACCAAAAACCCCACACAGGTATGCCTGATGCGCCGCCTCGTCTTTAGAATTCTCTCAATTGAAGTACGCCTGACAGACTAGATTTTCACTGTAGCAGCCGTGCATCTTGGGGTGAGATGCGTTTGTTTTGCCGCTTGAAGTGCTCCTCCCCTCTGCTTCTCTCCGGCTTCGGCGCAAGCTTCCACTCCCTCTCCTTCCCTTCTTTTCCACCTGCCGTCTTTTCATGAGTCCGCAGTGTCATCAAAAGGCCCTCTTGCAGCTACCAGGACGTGCATTTGGTGGAAGCGTTGTGATGCCCCAGCGAATTTTTCAACTCTCAGCCTGCAAGTGCTCTCCTGCTAGGCTTTCAAGATCTCTGCGATTCGAGCCGCGCGGGAGGGCAGCAACAAGCGCGCGCCCTCTGTGGCTAAACTGCAAAGTACAGTAGGTGAGAGGGTCGACAGTTGACAGGCCATCGCTCATCGCTCGTGCCAGCCGGAGGGGGATCGTTTCATAAGACTCTGAATCGGAGCGAAGCAAGTGGTCCGTGGTGCATAACATGGGCCCCACCACCCTAAACCCTAACCTTGCTATTTGAGGAAAAGCCTGCACCAGAAGTTGCACCAAAGAAGCAGCGCACAGCCGAGGCGAACGGTTGCCAGGGTTGAAACATAAATATGCAAACAAACAAAGCAATAACTAAGCCCTAAAGATATATGTATATGTAAATGTACATGGTACTAGCTTGAAGTCGGAGTTAGTTCGCTTTGCAAGCCTGGGAGGTGCAGAAGAAAGAGAAGGTTGAGAAGAGCACGGCCCGCAAAGCCAGCCAGTCCAAGAGCAAGAAGCAGGTAACTGACACCTGGCCGCAGACTTTTGGAGGGTGCTTCTAAACCCAAAGCCCCAGGTAAACCCTGGCCGAGTCCAAATCGTAAAGTCCTAAACCTTCGAGTCCGAATAAACTCCGGCCCTAGTCCGATCCTCCTAAATAATCCTCAGCGCTACATCCTAAATACCACACCCTCACCCTCACCCTGCTTCGCGAGCCTCATTCACGCAGCCACGTGCTCCGATCCCTATGGCTGCACGGCTGACGGCTCGCCTGCCAATCCATCTCCGCGCCGCAGGCTCGTCCGTGGTGCCGCGCGTTACACTTGCGAGCGAGTTCCGTGGGGGCGTCTGGCAGTGGCTTTCGGCTGCAGAGGAGCGTGCCGAACAACGGTCACGATGGGTAAGTCTCGGCCGAACTTCTACGCGGTCGCACACGGTCGCAGCCCGGGCGTCTACAGAACCTGGGAGGAGTGCCAGAAGCAGGTTCACGGCTTCCCGTCCGCGCGCTTCAAAGGATTCAGAACCCAGCATGAAGCTGAAGCCTTTGTGCGTGCGCCATCGCCGCCACGTGCCAAGAACAAGGCGGCTGCTGCTAGCACCTCGCCACAGCGCGAGGTGCCCAAGCCCGACCCCACTCTGGAAGCAAATCTCCGTGCCGTCCTGCATGAGGAGCAGATGGCAGTTGCCAAAGAGGTGCTCGCCGGCCAAAATGTGTTCATAACAGGCCTCCCGGGCTGTGGCAAATCCTTCCTGCTGAAGAAGCTGATCGAGATTTTGCGCTTGCGCAAGGGCCACGAGGCGGTTGCCGTTTGTGCTTCGACCGGTGTGGCTGGCATCCACATTGGGGGCGCAACGATTCACTCCTACCTGGGCTGCGGCAAGGCGGAATCGGAGCAGGACTGGGAGAAGGCCTTCCATAGCCGGAAGGCCAAGAAGCGCATCCGGGACACCGAGGTCTTGCTGATTGACGAAGTTAGCATGCTTTCAGGCGAGTTTCTGGAGAAAGCCGGGGAGCTGGTCGCTCGAATTCGTGCTTCTGAGAAGCCTTTCGGAGGCCTGCAGGTGGTTCTCTGCGGGGATTTCCTGCAGCTCCCACCGATCAAGGCAACAAACATGGCCTTCCAGTCCGAAATCTGGGAGGCCTTGAACCTGCAACATACTGTTCTGAAGCACAACTTCCGGCAATCACGTGATCAGGAGTTCCAGACACTGCTAGGGCAGCTGCGTTTGGGCATCCTGGAACCGTCGAAGCTGGCCGCCACCTTGGGCACCGAAGCCGGTGCGAAGGTCCATCCGAAAATCGTCAGCACCAAGGATGAAGCGCTGGAGATCAACTCAAGGAACCTCGGCATACTGCCGGACAAGCTCAGGACTTTTGCTGCGCGGGACAAGGCGGACCACCTGCATGATCCTGCGGTGGCGAATGTGCTAGAAAATCTTCTTGTGGAGAAAACGCTGGAATTAAAGGTAGGCTGCGTCGTTATGCTGCTGCAAAACCTTCGCCTACCAAGCGACTGCAAACCCATGGTCCCCAGCACTCGCAAAGGACGAAAGCGCCCTTTGGACCTCGACATCGAATATGACACCAGTTGCATGGACCTCCCCTCCGAATACCAGGGGCGGCAAACCCCATTGGTCAACGGCAGCATCGGCGTGGTGGTCGGCTTTGAACATTCGCCGGAGCACGAAATTGAGTGCCCGCTTGTGGAGTTTTCGCGGGGGTACCGCAGGCTCATTGTGCCTTCGGAATTCTCCGGCGAGCTCGGCCACCTCGGAAAGTACTGCCGCACGCAGATTCCGCTCAAACTGGCCTGGGCTCTCACTGTGCACAAGACGCAGGGCTTGACTTTGCAGACGGGGGAGCTGGACCTTTCGAAGGCTTTCGAGACCGCGCAGGTGTATGTGGCACTCTCCAGGTTCCAGACGCTCGCAGGGGTGAAGATCTCGGGAATGCCGAAGTGCATCCCCAGCCCATCGCTGCAGCGCACGCAAGCTCTGAAGTTCCATGCGTCCCTGGAACTGTTAGGAGAAAGGCTTTGAAGCTCGGGGTGTCTCTGTCCCTTCCAATCTCCAGTTTCAAGGAAAAGCCAAGAAGCATGGACTTAGTGGTAGATGGAGAGCTGATGGAGCGGCGATGCTCCTTCGGTGATGCAGCCGCTGGGTGTCAGCCCACGTAGATACGAGGGCTGGTAACACAGAACTGTGCTACAGAGGCTGATATAATTTCGGGATGGAATCCAATCCTAAACCCTAAACGACCCGCGCCTATGAACCTCGCCTGGCATGTCCGAGTTGTGCGAGCCTAAACGCTCTTCAGGCTCCTCGTTCAAAGATTCATTTGAGAGGGAGTTAGAGACTGGTTGCTGCAGCATTCTTGTTCGATGTAACCTCTCTTAAGCATGGCAGCATCAACCTTGTTCAGCACCAGTAGCCTCGGGTGGCCTGTCCGAGAGTGAGCACCGAAACCCCAAGAGGGCGGAGCCCTGGCTGAGGTCGAGTCCTCCAGCGAGGATGAGGAGGAAGAGGACGAGGGAAAGGAAGAGGAGGAAGAGGAAGAGAAGGATGAAAAAGAGGAGAAAGCGTCGGAGAAGGCTTCGGAGAAGGATGAAGAAGAAGACGAAGACGAGGAGGACGAAGACGAGGAAGAAGAGGAGGAGGAGAAGGAAGAGAAGCCCAAGTCCAGAAAGAAGGAGACAACATCACGTAGCAAGTCAAAGAAGGCGAACTTTCTTGCACCACGACTAGCACCGCTTGGGGAGAGACCTGCATGTCAACCCGACATACCAAGGGTTTTGCATCTTGCTTCTGAAAGGTCGGGGAGGAGGACGAAGATGAGAAAGAAGAGAAGGACGACGACGACGACGAGGAAGAAGAAGAAGACGAGGACGGAACAATGAATCCGAATGTGATGGTTTAGGGATGTTCAGGGACAAGACGTCTCATAGGTCCCTGTGTGCCCAAGGAGGACGAAGAGGAGGAAGAAGACAAGCCGAAGTCAAAGAAGGACAGCAAGCGGAGCTCCCGATCAGAAGCCAAAGAGAGTCTGCTTCTCAGTACAACATAATATAATATGAGATACTAGGCTAGACTAGATTAGACTAGACTGTAACTTTGATATATCATATTGCAATATATGATCATGTGATACAGTTTAATATAGCAAAAATGAAGATAATCTTAACATATATATATATGTATATACATACATACACACACACATATATATGTTAACATAGTTGTATGTTGTGCAATACAACCTCTTATACTACAAGAGTACAAAATGAAGGCCACCTGGCCTGCAACTTTCGGGAGGGACAGTTCGGGAGAAGTGTTGAGGGGACGCCGAGGATCCTAAAGGTTTGGGGCAAAAAAAGATAGGGTTACTTAAGGGGAATTTCTATAGGTTCAGGGTTTAGGGGGTTGCCATAAGGGCTTGACATACTGGATGCCGTAAGGTTTACTATGCGGGTTACGATACTTGCAAGCTATAAGCTTACTCTAAGGGTTTACTACAGGGCCTTAATCATCAGAATGGGCCTTTGGGGGGTATATTATGGTATGTTTCCATTAAGGAAACCTCAGGGCTTGCGATATAGGGGCATTAATGATTGGGATAGGGTTTGGGGTATAGCCGGTACTGCAGCTTAACAGAGATGTCTGGAGGTGACAAGCCGGCCGAGTCCGCAGGCAACTACTTCGCTTCGGACTCAGCTCGCAGAAAAAGGCTCTTTAACTCGGTTTAGGGTTTAGGGTCGAGTGCGATGTGCTGCGAGGGGATTTGGCCGGGCGGCCGCAAGATGATATCACTGCCTACATCCGGTACGAATGCTGCTTGCACTTGAGCAACACCAAGGTCACGGCCTACAACAAGCGCCGGGAGGCCGTTCCGCCTTAGGTCTAGACGGATGAGGGTTACCATCGTTGGGCTACGGTGTTGCCGCATCTTTTGGTGAGTCGTCTCGGTGGGTTTAAGCTGTTGCCGATCTGCTCGTGGATGCATCTTTTGGACTGACATGTCATTCTGCATTCCTGACCATTTTCCCTTTGCATCTGGAATCGCAAAATGGGTTTCATGTCTTGGCACAGAATGTTTTGCTCCCCACAAACTCCCCACAAACTGCGGTTAAATCACTGAGACCTGGGCCGCAATTGCTTCACAGAGTTCCCACAGCTACGGAACTCCAAAATCAGCTAACAGTAGCTAACAGGACAAACTTGACATGGATCCCTGGCAGGAGGCAAGTAGCGTTTCAGAGACACTCCCGTGCAACGAGTAAAGCCTTTCACAAGCCCGAAGCAAAAAATCTTAACTCCAACACACTTTAGTATAATGTGAGGGGCCGGAATATTTAGCATTTTAATAGATTTTAATCATGATCTCCCTTTGCAGTCCCGTATACACTTATGTATAGTCTAGAATAACACCCAAAGAAGCACAGTGGCTTTTATTTTAATTTAACTCATTCGAATCATTCGAAGGCCAGGCTTTGAAAATTGCCAGCCAGCTTAGCCGTTCTCCAGGAACGTGCCAAGGCCGAGGAGGAGAAGAAGAAGAAGGCGCAAAATAGTACATCAAATAGACAGTAAGTATATATATATATATTATATATGTATATGTATGTATGTATGTATGTATGTATGTATGTATGTATGTGTGTACACATACAAGTTAGATACCGAGATACGGTACATATATGTGTTACAAGAGGATCAGACCGCCTTCGGGGTGCAAGTTTAGGCGAGGCTGGGTACGGAGGAATCTCGGATCTTCGGAAATGGTTCCGCCAATCCTGGGACTTTCGGGCTTGTCTCTCTACCGGGACAATAGCTTGCAACATCCGATGCAATGTAGGATCTCCAGGTGGGAAGATGTGTGGTGGTTCAGCTCGTTTACTGTTGATTTGCTATGGCGGTGCAGCTGCCCTGGGCGTAGGCCGTCGTATGCCCCCGAGGTTGACTTAGGGCTTAGGACCCTCAATTGTTGGCGGTGTTGCCTTCCTTAGATACTTCCTCGGCGTAATTCGACCTGCAATACGATCAATAAGTGTTGGTTAGGTATTGGCTTTAAGCACGAGCTTGAATCGTGCTTCTCCCGGCGCTCAACGCTGGATGAAATTTAAGATGGCGGCATCGAAGCCATAACCTGACAGTTCAGGGCTTAGGGTTTAGGGTCAGCGACCACATCCTAAACCTCTGAGCTTTAAGCCGCAGTGCCAGGCCCCAGAGAAGGAGTCTAGAATCGCCAATGGCACGGCCACGGTGTCTCGGAGCATGAAAAGACAGAAGTTTAGGGTTTCGAACGCCCCTTGATTCGGGGAGTTTGCTCATAATGCCCGAGGGCGTCCGAACTTCGAGCTTGATTGGCAGCGTCCATAGTCTAGCTATCGAAGGCCTTTCCGAAGGGGGTGTTTGTCCTTCGGATCAGCCGGCGCGCAAACTTCAAGGATTTGGTGCAGGCTCAGGCCTCCTGCTACTCCTCCTACTCCGCCAAAGGCGACGACTGATGCTGATGGCGGTGGTCATGATGATGTTCTTGATGGTGTTGGTAATGTTTGTGGTGATATGCTGCCCTCGCGTAGTTGTAGAAAATGCGATTAGTTTTGTGCCCACCAGCTGCAAGGCAGCATGAACAAGCCCCTCCTTGCCAGGGATTGTGCTACGATCTCATTTCCTGTTAATGATCTCAAAGGACACGAGAACGCTTTGCCGGCATGCGATACTGTACCATACTATACTGTAAAATACGCTATACAAGAAGGATGCCGTAACAGGTGGTAATGTGCTAGAGCATAGCAACTACAAGCCCCAAATCACAAGCAGTCTCAGGCCAAGGAGAAGTCCGCAAAGGACGACGAGGCAGACGAGGACGAGGCAGCCTCCGTCTTGATAGCAGGGGGAGAGGGACCGAAGTCTCCGAATGAGAGCCCTCGTATGCATAGCGACTTTAGGGCTTTGGGGGTTTAGGGAGACCTCTAAACACAGAGAACCCGAGTGCAGGAGCCTAAACTAAAGGACATTCTGACTGTGCAAACGGCGCGCTTGAAGGTATGAAAGTCTGACATACCATTACGTCTAAGTTGAACTGTTTCTCACTACATCCCGACGGTCATAGCCAGCATGACCATACTCACTGTTGTTGTGCAGTGCATGATCTTTGACTGGGGATGATTGTGTTCACGATGATGGCGACGCCTATGGCCATCACCTACATCGTTCTCACAGAACAGGTCACAATGTTCTGAGTGGCGGTCTTTGTGTCCACGGGTTTCGTTTGGATGCTCTTGCTGTTGAAGCAATGTTTCTACGTTGACGCACTAGTCACACTAGTCATGGCAACTTCGATATAGGGCTTCAACTTTCTATCCTTTCGGCTTCATTGGGGGCACTGAGCTTTCAACACGGTCCGAGCTTCATCAGCTTATGCTGTTTTCAGTTACCGAATGAAACAAATCCGAGTCCAAATAGCAGTTTCTGCCACCCAGGTGCGCATGCTCGAGGAGCTGCGAAAGCGCGCGGAAGAGCGGAAGAAAAAGATGGAGGAGCTGCCTTGAGCCTGCAAAGAACCACCGATTTGGATTTTAAACGGTTTTGGGGGGGGGGGGGTGTTGGGTGTTGAGGTCTAGTCTAGGGTCCGGGATGTCGTGCCTGCGACACGCATGCAGCCAACAGAAAATCGGAAGCCACCTGGCAGTCAAAACTCAACAGTCCCACTCACAACACAATTCAAAAAGTCCCGTTTCCAGGACCTCAAGAAGAAGGAGGCTGGGTAACGAAGCGCAATGCACATGAGGGCCTACGGCAGCTTTTGTTGTTGTTGGGGGGCCTAGGTTCCTCATTCGCTGTGCACAGGAGGAGCTCAAGAAGAAGGCAGCTCCCAAAGAGGATTCCTGTTTGGCAAAAGAATATTTCTGTGATTATTGGAATATGCATGTTAATAATTATCAGCTTAACCACAATCACAATATCCACAAAGGCTATTGCTTCAAATAACAATCACAACAACAAGCACACACACAAGCATACATGCTAACAAACAAAAACTCAAACACACAAACAAACAAGCACGCAAGCAAGCAAGCAAGCAAGCAAGCAAACAAACAAACAAACAACAAAACAAACACACAAGCAAACTAATTAACTAACAAACCAACACACAAACAAACACAAACAAACGCACAAACAAACACACAATCAAATTCACAAACAAACACACAAACGAACAAACAAACAAGCAAACAAAGACACACACACACACACGCACAAACAGAGACACACACACACACACAAATTAACACCGGCAACGGCAACGTCAACGCAGCAGCAGCAGCAGCAACAGCAACAGCAACAACAACAACAACTGCTTCTTATAATAGCACTACTCACAGTAGTAGTAATAGTCGTCGTCGTCGTCGTAGTAGTAGTTGTTGTCGTCGTCGTCGTAGTCGTAGTAGTAGTAGTAGTAGTAGTAGTAGCAGCAGCAGCAGCAGCCGCGGCAGCAGCAGCCGTAATAGTCGTGCTAGTCGTACTCGTCGTAGTCGTACTAGTCGTAGTAGTAGCATTAATAATAATAATAACAATAATAACAATAATAATAATAATAGCAATAATAGCCATGTCATGTCAAAAAGTGAGGGCTTTTCTACGAAAGCAGTGCGCGATGCAGTCGGCATCCGGATTCTTCAACTCAGTGTTTGTGTTTCCGATGCCAAAGCTCAGGGCAAAGTGTGTGGAAGCGACACAGAACTGTGGATCTGTCTAATGGCTGCAGCCAAGGACAGCAAGCCAGAAGCCAAGGCTCGAATTCCGCGTTGACCCTTCAGGGTTCAGGGTTGAGATGCTTGACAGTCTTTCGGTTTAGGACTTCGTACGCTTCCATTTCATGTCGACGCTCAGACGTGATTCGTTTGGTGGGCGCTGGCCGTGGTGAGCTGTAGTATTAAGTCAGCATTCGACAGATTTTCACCGAGAGTTTACTGAGCAAACTACCTGTCACCTGACAGTGGACCTGAACCACTCTGTACGACCATTTGTCCTCAGAGCACTCCGCAGCTAGTAAGGTCCATGAAAGTCACCCTGAGACCGCTGAAGCTTTTGTGTCAAAATTTCTGTAAAGACCCTAAACAGACCTAAACAGTAGAGTTCACGCAGTATCACTCTGCTCCTGGGCATCTTTCAGCGCTAGGCCCCAGCGCTAGGCGGCTGAAAAAGCAACTGCGAGCATCTAAAAAAACCAATGAACCTTAAACCCTTCGCCTCAAAAACGTAAACTTTCAGCCCCAGGACCAAGTATCTCTAAAGCCTGATCTTTGAAGCACTCTAAAGCCCAAGCATCCTAAGCACCACAAATCCGAAAGCCCCGACAGCACAGGTGAAGGAGTCGAAGGAGCTCTGAAGTGCGTTAGAGTGTAGGGAATAAGGGTGTAAGGTTTGGGGTTTGGGGTTCAGGATTTTGGGTTTTGGGTGTACAGTCTAGAGACTCCGAAATCCCTGACAATTAGGGAGGGCCCGCAGTTTCAGGCGTGATCCTTTTTTAGGGGGTTTTGGAGTCTCTGGGTACTTGGAGGTAAGGGTATACGGGTCATTCTTGGGGTTACCTCAGAGGTTGTACTCCTTGTCAGGCTTACTACAAGGGTCGCTCCAGGTCCAGGTCCTAGGGTCGAGGCCCAGTCCCCTAAATCCTAGAGCCTAAATCCTGTAGCCAAGTTGCTCAAGTCAGTGGAGCTACAGGGGAGCTGCGTGACTTCAATCCGTTGGGCCTTGAATAATCTTGCGCTGAACTTTCGACTTCAATTGTTCTCTGGCTGTACTCTGCAAGGTGGGAGGCAAAAAAACCCCTATGCCAAGACCCTAAAGCCTCAACCTGTGAGCCCCTTACAACGC